CAAACATGCACTGGAGTCGGGAGTTCAGTCAAGGACAGGGAAGCCCTAACAGGGTCCCCCAAATGCGACATGCGCACAGACTTCATGCCCTTCCCCTGAGCATTTCACAATGCAAACACACCAAATCACCCTGCAGAGCAACCTCATCTCAACAAGTTATGAAAGCTTATTTCCTCTATAATGGGAAATACCTGCAAATGAAGTGAAATTTATTAAAATGTTAAAAAGCGCTGTCAACTTGCAAACAATTATCTACTTCAGCTTTTCATAAAGAAATAATTGTTACCCAAAGGATTCTGAAACCCAGTAACTGAAGGAGGAAAATAATTCTTAGCATTTGCTTCCTCACTAATGACATGTGACAACCAGGAAGAGTTCTATTTCAAATACCATAATAATGATTACAACTTCCCCTGTAAACAAGGCACACCTTGCACAACTTCAAAATATACTTCAGTTATGATAACTTTTCACAATAAAACAACCAAATTTTCCACCCAACAAGAGATCACAATTTTAAGAGCTCCACAAGGCTGAAGGAAACTAGTTGTTTACGATAGCTGTGAAGTTACTGAACTCTGTGTAGCACTCCAAAACATGTTTAATGAGAGTGCAAAGTACAGTCCAAAACTCAGGTAGCCTGACTTGGTCGAAACTCCGATCTGTTAATTGCACGACAAGGGTTACCATCTCTTAAAATCTTTAAACTTTTTTTGGTGTGTTACCCCTCTGTTCCCCCACCACCCGCCCCCTCCCCACCCCTTCTCTTCAGACAGGACACAGTCTGGCAACTCCAGGCCTCCCATAGGCCAGATTTCCTCCTGTGCAGCCCTCTGGGTACAGCTGCTAATCCTTCTTATTAATTAACGAGATGATGGTGGTTAACCAGAACGCAATATTAATGCTAACTATCTAGGAAACTTTAACCAAAATTATTTCAGGCTTTTCATTGTTTTGCCTCATATGAAGAATCAGGAACTGAGAATTTGGCAACATTTTTATGCAGAATTGAGAATTTTAGGAATGAATGATTTGTATCAGACCTTAACATGTAAGTTTCCTCACTGATGTGGGTTTTTGGTTTTTGTTTTTTGTTTTTTTCACATTTACACTTCAACACATTACTGACTAGAGAGGAGAGTAAGGTCTGCTCAACCGCTCCTACAGAATTTGGAAGCGTGGAAACTGAGGAAACTAAAATTGCCTAAGAAATCAGCCGTGATGTAACTGAAAGCAACAGTCAGTCAGAAAGGATGCATTACCACATTCAGCATGTCCTCCTCACACCTGTCACAGCACACCCTGCATCCCACAGAACACGTGTGTCCCGGGAAGGTGTGTTGTGCAAGGCTTGCCTGGTTTTTGTTTTGTTTTGTTTTGTTTTGCTCTGCTTTCGAGAAGGCAATAACAAAGACAATATGGGGAGGAGGTACCACCTGCCCAAGAATCACTGGACATCTTTACTATCTTTGGGGAAATGGGGACCACCTTAGAGCTATTTTTCCTGAATCTGTCACAATCTTTTTAAAAAACTAAAAAAAAAAAAAAAAAAAAAAAAAAAAAAAAAAAGAGGGGGAAGGGTTTTCTATTTTACCTAAGGTTTGCTGCAGCAAACAAGAAAGCAGCGCTCATTCAGGGATTGTCAAAAACTTTCCAGTGTGCCCACTGCAATGCGGATGCCAACCAACGAATCAAAGGCATTCAGCAACTAGACAAAGAGGGTCTGATGCCAACCTCGGTGCCACTGGCAACCATTATTGGCATCAAACACAGTGTCTGCCTTTTTTTTTCCCCTTCGCCTGGCACTTCACAAACAAAATGGCGGTTCTTGTAGCAAGGAAACAGCCGAAGCGCAGCCCTCTGAATCAATACCGTCAAATGATTTTATGGATTTAAACACAGTTACTCCCAAATGATGTGTGCATTTTAGATACAGAGGAGGGCATATCATTTTTATAAGCAACTATGTTGAACATGACCTTTTACTAATGTAAAGAAATAGTAAAATGGACTGAATTGCGGTCAACCAGACTCTATGCATAGAAGAAGCTGGGTAACAAAGACATTGAGCTTTAAGAAAATGCTGCCCAGTGATGCAAAAGTCCAATAAACTCTGTATCAAAAATGGTTTCAAAATGTGTACAATTTTCCCAAAACCATATCAGATGCAGATGCAGCACTGTATCTTATGTCAAAGCTCTAGTAACTCTTTCCACATTTCAGAAAAGATGAGACTGCTGGGCATGAAGAAGAAAAACTGAACCAAAAGAGACAGAAGGGGAAAGAAAAGCGTGTGAAGTTGGCCAGCAATGGAACTTTATTATATGTTGGTCTTCATTCCATCCTCTGGAAGAGATGCAGTGTGTGATCTTGTATAAATAACCAAGAGGACCATTGACATTTCTAGATCTGGAAATTGTCAATATATTGTAACACCACTCCACACTGCAATGCGGATGCCAACTAACAAATCACAGGCATCCTGAGCTAAACAAAGAGGGTCTGATGCCAATCCTGGTGCCAGTGGCAACCATCTTTGGCATTCTCTCTGTTCTTTCTCATGTTTTTCTCCTAATCATTTGGAAGTGGGGAGAGAGAAAGTAAAAAGGGGGGAAGATAATTGTGCTGCTCATTCTGTTGCAACCATTACAGTTTTCCTTTCTGATTTTTCTTTCATGTTTTTCCTTCCACTTTTTTGCCTAATGTATAAAGCAGAATTACGTACGTTTTCATGCACTTAGGACAGACTGAAAAGTCACGATGTAAGAGATGCAGTTTTCTAATTGACTACTAACTTATCTTTTAAAAGCCTGCCTTCTTTAATCAATCGTACTACAAAATGATCTAATTAAACTACACTTAACAAAGAAAAAGATGTAAGTTTTGAAAAAAAAGAAAACACAAAAGCACCCTGATGTGAATTTTTTTGAAGTAAGATTCCCTGGATTTAACATCTGTTTAAATCTCACTCAGACGCTGCCTAGGAAGGTAGCCAGAGACACAATTATTAGATGCACAGATTAAAATGATGAAAGGTTCTTACAACAGAGGCTGCTGAGAGAACAACACAATCAGTGCTTTACCTTAAAATACGGTCTCAAAGAGTTGCTTAAAACTTTTTGACTATCACGACCCATGGTGCAGTGCAGAAGGCATTTGTGCACTTTTTAAAAAATCTATCTTCACAAATCCAAAGGAAATGTTCTTTATTGTCAGTTCATCACCATTAAGGCTTGGCCGCCTGCCTTGAAAGTAAGCATGCGTGTGTGCACACCTCACACCTCAAGGACCACCCTCCTTCCAGCAAGGTGAAATGCGGGCAGCAATGAGAGCCCACTCTTCCCCACCGCCCTGAAAGTTACATGACCCACTTTTTAAAACTTTCGTTCCAGCCTTGACTTTCACAGCAGAGTTAGGACACATTTATAGTCAATCTAACACATACATACAGCCCACCTTAAAACTGTCACCTCCTAGACAGCTGTCAATCAAATTAATTGTCATGTGTTAATGAGCTTTTTATTTTAGGACACAGGATGAAAATACATTTTCTCTATCATTATTTGGATTTTAGTTCTTAAATACACAGCAGCAGTAAGCGAACTGTTTCATTTTTAAAGGAAATATAGTATTTCCAAATGAGTGATGTCCGAAACCATTATTTAAAATCAGACAAATTTCCGAATGACCCTCAAGCACATCCCTAACACTCTATCATGGAAATATGAACACAAAAAGCACATAGTAGGTATCTAGATTTCAAAATCAAAAGCGTAAATTTTATATTTTACTCTTTTGGATAAAAATAAAGTACATAGCAAATTCTTAATCCCACACTTATATAATGGACATCAGGTAACTGTCTGCCACCTGGCTACCTGCAGGCTGCTCTCCCTCCCGCCAGGCCTGCTCAAAAACGACCCACCGTCTGTGGTACTTCAAACTTCAGACCACTTGTGCTATGCTGTTTTTTAAAGTCCTGTTTTACCATGGACTATTGCTAATGTACAGTCATCTATTCCTCGACACACTGATTTGAAGAAAAATGCTCACCTAGTTAAGGAAAATATATTAAGAGAAATAAAAATGATTAAGGAACATAATTCATTAACTCAAAAAAGACCCAGCAAGAGCATCAGTTATTTTGAATTGTTCAGGCAATGCTGACACCGCTCTCTGTATGGAGCATTTTAAAATGCAGGTATGGTATGTGGTTTGTGCATTCTTTTTGAGATTTATTTTTAAACCAGTGTAACCAGTCTACTTTCTGTTTTTGCTCTGATGTGTTCTGTAAATGGTGACTTTCCTCCTTGGATGTTTTATGAATTTACATTCAAGTAAACTAACAAAATAAAGTGTTCCCGAGTCATTCTGGGAACCTCTTATAAATTACTGAACCAAGGACTATCTTCCAATAAATCTACAGTGACTATTCCACCATCAAAAGTAAGTGTTGATTAAGGTATTCAAATTAAGTAGATTAAGGTCTATATAAGATACACATTTTGATAGTGGTTATCCTATGCTTTCTATAGCAGTAAAATATTAATTCTATTTTCAGCACTAGAGTCCTAAACAAACTTCATCTACCTCCTTAGTTAAGAAGCTTATTACAAAGATTATTAAAGAGTGATTTGACTCTGCATAAGGTTGTATTTTCAAATCGGGATAAGATGACTAGATGATGTAAGAAATGTAGCCTAGCACAAAAGTGCAGGGTAATAAACTGTATTTTTAGACTACTCTGTCTGCTCGTGTGTGAAAACGCGTGTCTTTGTAGTCTTTCCTGAAGCACGCGGCCTTTCCGGGCGCGAAAGCCCCGTCGTGTCCACCCCTGGGGCTCACACACACACACACACACACACACACACTCGTGAGTAGGAGTTGGCACGCCGCTGTGCACCCACTGAGGGCAGAGCAGACCCCCAAGCCCAGCCGGGTATTCCGCACGGAGGCTGCGGGCACCGTTTGCGGTAGAAGAGAGAACAATGTGCTCCTACCTTGCTCCTGCACGTAGTACGCCAAAAACAAGTCGAGCTCCTTAACTGACACTGTGATGTGGTGTGGCTGGACACAAAGTGCTGGGTTTGTGCAATGCGGGGACTTCATGAGCCGCTCTCCATCGGTACTTTCCAGGGGGATGCCTTTGAACAGGATCACCATGACCAGATCCAGACGCCAGACTTTGTCTGCCTGCCGCAGGCAGTCGATCCTCCTGATCTTACCCTTCTGGTCAGGGTTGGACAGGACACAGCACGGGTGCTTCTTGCCAGTCACGGTGAGCACAAAGTCCTCTCGGTACTCCTGGCGGATATCCTTGCGCAGTTTGGCCAGGAGCCTGGATGCCCACTTCTGTTTGATCTCGGGCTTCTCGCTGAGAAGCTCATCTTTGACTGCTCTTTCTTCATCCTTTGACATTCGCTTCTCGTGCTTTTTAAAGTACTTGCGCTTTCGAGCCTGCAGGTTGAACCAAGTATAGGCGATTGCACGGACGTGGGGAAGAAGAGCCTCGATGAATGGGTGAAATTCGTCCTGTGGAAGGTGGGTGGAGAAGGAGAGGCGCACAGTCAGTTTAATTTTAAACGCTCAAAAGTTAGACCACAATCCATTTCCAATTTGGCATGAAAAGTTATGCGTGAAAACAGCACTGTTTTCTTACTTAAAATGCTCAAAACAGCAGGACAAGAAGAAAGTACAGTATGCCAAGCTGCCCCTCTCCAGTAAAATTCACAAGCAGATTCTCCCTCCCACAAAGGAAATCGGGTTTTATTTTCTATCTCCACTCTGGCCCCACCCGCCCCCCAATACTATGCATTCTGCACTCTTTAAAATATACCCAACCAAGGTACGTGGCACCTAATTTATATTTAAATACCTGACTGACCAACTAACTCTAAACAGTACCATTTCACAAAGAACAGAGAGAAGGTGTTTTTGTTTTTGTTTTTGTTTTAACCGGAGCAGAGCTGTTCAGAAGGCAGGAACGACGCCACAGTTCATTTCTCTTCTCTGTGGCACAGAAACACAAAGCATATAGATGCTCAGTGCAGTACCACACAGTTCCCGCTTTTGGAGCATGCTCTCAGCAAGAGGCTGCTGGTGGCACAAAGAGCATGCGCCATTAAACTTGATCCATTTTCTTATCAAACGTCCAACATTCCAACACTGAAACAGCACCATTCCAAAAGTGTTAACTAGAGAAACCGGTACACAGTGGGGAAAGTGGGCAAAGGACACAGCTGGTCCTATCAGTGTCCAGCACAGTCAGTTTCCATACTTTGAGCAGTGCATTTTCTCGAGGTACTACCAACACCAGCACACACACACACACACACACACACACAGACACACACACACCCCAGCACACACGTGCTCTCACAGACACACACTTGAGTTTTTAAATAGAAGTTTTAAAGTTGAAAACAAAATTTACACAAATGCTTTTCCTGTAGCTTTCCTATCAAATATGCAGCCCGACAGTCACTTAATTTGTTAATGGATCACATGAGTATGACAATTATTCTAAATCCCTTAAAAATCAATCTGAGGTGAACAATGAAAAATGGCAACTTGGCACCAACTTCACATTCTTTGTGTCTCTGCATGCTACAGCGGGGGGACACTGGGAGTGCACGGCCAGTCAGTCCCTGCTTTTGTGGAATTCATACGATTCCTTTGCCACACAGATGGATTATCTGACAGGACTTTGGAAGGGCATATTTTTCTGCTGCGAATCCGCAAGTGCACATTTCTGCAGTGTCCATCTTCTATATTCAGTGGTTTACCTTTAGGGTCCTGCATTTTTCTGGCCTGTTTTGTCAGAGACTGTTTTAAGGGAGAAGGCAGTGAGGAATGGAAGATCACTCCACCCGCAGATATTAAAAGTTACTTCCAAATGTAGTCAGTGCTTCAGTACTTCCTGACTTAGGTAAAACTTATCTTAAAAGCTTAGGTCCAGGCTGTTCTGAAAAAGAACATAACGTCCTACGTACACACACTGTATGCATGCAGCGAGCCAAGGTCTGGAGCACAAGAGAAGTTCCCGCCGCAACCATTTTTTAGATTGCATCGACTACAATGTCATCCCAACAACAAAGTAACTTTCTCTACCTGATCGTATGCCGAGTTAGAATTGACATACTCAGATTAGTCACCCTGCACTCCGTGGAATAAACTCTATTTAACCAGCAGACTGAATAATTCCATTAGGAAAAGATGATGAAAGTAAAGTAATGACACTCCAACAAAGAAGGTGTCAAAAAAATTCCATGTAACAACGAAGGTACTTTAAAGAGGAAATTCAAAAGTTTTAATGCTAAGGACTGTGGCGTGTCAGTAGTTTGAAGTTTTGACACGGAAGAGGTATAAGGCCCACTCAACCAATAATGTAGTTATCAAATGTTCCAACACATTGTCCTAAAATGCTCCTACACCAGAATAAGTATGAATCAAAATTTTATAACAATACAGAATGCAGATGACCACATCACAGCATGAGGCATAACCAAATGCCATAGAGGAAATCATTAAACCGATCAGTAATTTCCAGCAGAGATTTGAACAATTCAGTTACTATGTGAGCACATTAAACTAGGCCATGGAAAGAGTTAAACCACAATCTGTTCTTTGTGTGGGAAGGCAGCCCTGCTCACAGCAACCACAGCCCACGATAAGACCTCCCTATCTACATACAGTTTTTGATGCCATGCTTTTAGCATTCACTGCAACTACAAAAACTTTGTTTATTCTCCCTCAAAATATATGCAAAAGGAAAGCCTGTTCAAGGAAATGTGGACTTAAAATGTGCTATGGAAACTTGCTTCCTATGATATGACTTTGACTATGATTTATTGATACGACTAAAAAACATGCATACATGCATTTAAACGAAAACCTTCAGAATGTAAAGAGTATATGGGCGCTTTGTTTCACTCTTCTTACCCTTGCCATGCTTTTTAAAATTCAATATTATTTCAAAAAATATTAAGCAATTCGATAATACTTGAGCACTTTCACCTTTAAGTACTATGTTCAGTGACATTTCATTCTTATTAAAAAGTTAAACATAGTTTTGATTAAATGCTTGAGTTTCACTATTGGATCGAAAACATCATCTACCATGTAACAGATCTCAAAATTTTAACAAACTATTTTAAGCACCAGAAGGAAAATGAGGAGGTTCAATTTGGAAACTCTTAGCCAATGTCCACAAAACATTGCTGAAGGCTCACCTGAATTTGCTCAATGAGGCCAGACATTCTTTTTAAACGCAGACTTTTTCAGGCCTCCAATTTGCCTCCTTAGTGCCCTTCAGAGCTTTACTATTATGTGCATTCCTTTAAAGAATATTTGAGAAGAGGAAATCCCCCCAAAAAAAGATTATAAGGGGAGATATGCTGTACGCCACAAACATCTTTGCACTAACGTAATTGTCATCTCCCAAGTATGACTGTCTTCAAAGGCTGAGTAGCCATACATACCGAATGGCTGATAGTGACAGGACCTAAGAGCTCAGTAACTGTCCTCGGCCAAACCAAAAAGCAAAAAGGAAAAGTATTCATGCATTCAAATGTTCCAACGAATTAGCACTAGACAATTATAAAAATTATTTTCAAAAATTATTTAAGATCTAAAGCTCTACAGTAAACTAATATACAAGCTTGCTCTTTCAAATTTTTTATTAAAATACATGAACATTTAGTAATCCTTTGTCTCATAAAACTTTTTACTTGAACGCAACTGATAAAATAAATAACCAAGTTACAAATTTCAAATATAAAAGTAAACAGCTGAATTTGACTAGAAAAATTAATTTCTATTCATGAAACAATGGTTTCCTTGCAAGGGATGGAAAAATTATACCAATATAGGGGTGGAAGACTAAAAGTAGTAGGTGTTCTTAGAGTATCATCTCTATACAACAATAAACCATGAAAAAAATGTTCCTGAAGAAGTTGAATGACAACAACAAAATAATTCAATGTCATTATATCCATTGAAAGTTATACAATTAAGGGCTTACGTTATATTACCAAAAAAAGCCAACATTAAATCATGCCTGACAGCTCTCAATTTTCCTTTTCCATCTGATTTATATTCATGCAAAAATGATGATTTATATTAGTGTACTGATACTACAGCACACTAGTTTGCTGAAAATCAACTTTACTGGTAGCTGCTTTTAAATGGAGGTTCTTTATTAAACCTAGGCATTTTATTGCAACAACTGAGATACTATTTAAAGTTCAATAAAGAATGTTACTTTATTCTGTATTTGCTGCCTTAAAACATGTTATGTTGTAGTTATTAGACACTTATGATACAAAAGTATCATAAACAGCTAATGTGATATAAAAGTACCGCTGTTCACGTATACCTAACATTACCTGTAAAGTCAGAGGGTGGTTAAGTAAGAATACTAAAGCTAAATTTCTTTCTTGGTATAGGCCTTAATTCCCCCAAACAGTTTTAATATATTAACCGAGATTTACATTATTAAAATAGTAGAGAATATGAGTCATAGTGAATTAGAGTAAGTGTGCATCCTTGAATATTAATGTGATAATTGAATGACTGTACTGTACATGCCCAGACATTCCATATGTCAAGATGCTGCAATATTATTTCAACTTACACAAATCAAGATAAAACTAGTGACTTTTGAATACATGCAATGTAGTCGCTCCCAGAGTTCTCAAAAAGCCAATGTTGAAAATATCAAATGAGAAAAAACAATTATTCAGTGCCTTACAGGTGAGAATCGGTGAAGCAGTGCTCGGTAAATGAAAAGCTTACTTCAATTTGTTGTATTTGATCCCAATGTAAAAACAACGTAAAGGGATGCAGTTTACCAGAAAGAAAAAAAAGATCCTGCGGATGGAAAATAGTAAAGGTAACTTTTCTACAACTAAAGGCAATTCATTAGACTTGAAAGTTTCATCACATTCATTGACTATTATCATTCATAGCTCTTAAAATACAAATAAGTCAGCAACTCATTTTTCCAGTGTTGTTAAATTAAAGTGCACGTTTACTTGCTTAAAATAGCCATATCTAACTTAATCATACTCAGATGCCAAACAAAATACAAACAATAAAAAAATGTGTCAGCCAAAAAGCTACAGGACTGTATCCAATCACTGAATAAGCCTTATCATTGTTTTCATCTTCATTCACAATTTATGAATGCCTTAGTCCTTTTGAATCGCAATGGCTTCTAATTGTCATACAATTGAAATCTTAATTATTTGTCCATTATAAAAATGCATCATCGTGATATTAGATTTTTTAATTGAACACACCCGAAACTAGCCAATACGTCTTTAACTGTTTCGTTTTCCGCCAGCGTCGGAGAAAATGGTTATCGATTACCAATCGTGGCGATTACTCTGAGGTAAACTGTCCTAGACCATCAGAGGTTTAAATATTATTTCAAACAACAATTCTAGGCTAAGCTGTTTCGTTAGTTCGCTAGTTAGCTCGCCAAGCTGTAAGAACTGCGCCGAAGTAAGTCTGCTCGGTAACGCCACTTT